TGCATGATGGCCTCATTTGATGACGATTTTTCACATTGACTGCTTTTCGATAAACCACCTATTCAGGGCGAAACTCAAGCTATCGACGAATCTACGCTCCAAGAATAGCGCTCGCAACTGGTCAACGAGAGGGACAGCGAGTCCCTGGGCCAAATCTGCTGTCACCAACTCTTTTGTATAACAGAGAAGATTTTAGTTGTGTGTCGAGATTGTACTATTTCATTTGACCATTTTCTAGTGGGACGAGATATGCAAGTATTCTACTTATATAAATGCGATAATTCATTTCGTAGTTCGACGTGTGGTAAAAGCTGTTATATAGGGTCATAACTGAAAATTGAAAAAATCGAGTTTTTTTCAGTTCGATTCCGAGCTTGTTTTTTTATGGATGGATTGCATGCACATTTTTGCTGGCCGGAAATGCAGAGATTTTATTTTCTAACCATGCCGAGAGAATAATGTAATGATGATGGCGGAACATTCACATCATACTCATCAAAAGTCGAGAATTTTTTAGCAGTTCCAAGGAATTCTATTTTGTCGAGGTTGTTTTCTGACAAATGCGTAGTCGGTAGTGCCGCGTTGCAAAGAACATTTGTGTTTGCCTTCAATGCTGAGGAAGTTCTCCGTCCAATCGTGTCTGTCACTGGTTCGTTCATCGCGGCATCCATCGCATGCTAAATACTGTAAAAATGAAGTAGAGGAGCATGTGTTAGACAGCGGGGTCGTTTTGTCACTTTGTTGTTTTTCAAATGACTACTGCCTAGATCGTGACACATATTTTGTCAGTCGTACACACAACGTTCATGTTATAGTCGAGGTTATTATAACTACATTTACAAGGTGTTTAACCACTTCAATAATTATTCTAGCGTATAAAAGGTGCGAGTTGAAAGTGATTTAACATAATTGAGATTTATTTTCTACATTTGATAATCATGATACAATCATAGATATTTTGTCTTTAAACCATATAACCCAAAGAAAGTTATATTGATGACTGCGAAGATGAGTTGAAAATAGAATATCAGTATAAGTTGAAAATTAAATTACTTTAATATGAAGTTGGTCAATCGGCGTGACCGAAAAAAACGCATTTGTCAGAAAAGAAAAAATAAAAGAAGAAAATTTTGAAAATTTCGTATTTAATCACAATTGTATATAGTCGTATTTTTGTATTTGCTAATTGGTTGCACAACAAATATTCCCACGGAACTATATTACAATTAGTTTAAAATAAACAAAATTATCAAATAGATTAATCAATAACAATACATAATTTCTTTCAGTTGGAGATAATTGTAAATTACTACACAAGAAATGGACTATCTATATACTCAACAGTATTGTCAACACCACTACCACTTTCAATACGAGACACTCTCTTAGATTTGACGATATGCCCACATGTACTGCTGAGAAGCAAATTCCCTGCATTACTGAAACATAATAGAACATACAAATTAATTATGCTCAAGGGATGTAACATCACCTTACTTGTAATTCACTCAGTTATAGTGATAATATGCGCAAAGAGTACATATATATACGTCTCATAGTTCAAA